AATAGACTTGCTTTACATGGTGTGATCTAGATTGAGTTACCTTAACCCAATTACTAATCATATAACTTTTTTTCTGGCAAGTCTTTTAGATCTTGCGAATGGGCGGTATAAAAATAAGCGTTTTTTTGTTTCTTGTAGGTGGGTTATAATAATATTTTTTGCTCATATATTTTTTACCTGACCATATTTTTTTAAAAATGTAATATTTTATTTAACGGAGATTATGAAAGTGAATTTTTACTTATTATATTTTTTATTTAGAACGAAAAATGAGTAGTAATAAAAAAACCACCTCCAAGACCAACAATAGTAACGCCCCTAAGACTAATAATAGTAACGCCCCCAAGACTAATAATAGTAACGCCTCCAAGACCAACAGTAATAACACCTCCAAGACCAACGATAATAATACCTCCAAGACCAACAAAAGTGACGCCCCTAAAACCAATGATAGTAACGCCTCCAAGACCAATGATAGTAATGCCTCCAAGACCAATGATAATAACGCCCCCAAGAACAATGATAATAATACTCGAAAGAACCTCTATACTTGTAAGTAAAGTTTACATTGCGTAAATATTCTACAAAAATAATTTCCTCAAAAATATAACCACCTGGGACTTAGTTTCTTTTTCTATTCAAACTAGACGATATCTATGATGATGAACCGATTTCGCATTGCTACGGAGACTACGGAGATAGAGTTAGGGATAACAAATCCATTGCGAGTTATATGTGGTATTCAACTGGTGATGATGATTGTGATGATAATGATTACCTCCCTTAATGTATAATCAGAAAAAATTATTTTTTATTTGTATATTGTCGTTCCGGCAAAAAAATATTAAATAAAGAAGGGGTCCTATAGCTTTACTATTTTTATTTTTATGCGATTTTTTATAATGTAATTCTGCCTTCTCGCAATTACTTATTCGAGGCCAGGGAGTAGGTGGCCACTTTTGAAGCCACGAAAGCAGAATTCAGACTCTGTGGCTTCGAGTGATAAAAGTATATATCCTGCTGGAGTATGAAGCCTTCTGCCAATATTTTATATAATATATTACGCAGAAGGCTTCATCTTAAAAGTATGTACCTGGTCAGAATAAAATCACGAGAAGGCGGGTGGATGCAAAAATAAATACAAGATCGGGACGTAGCCCGTGATACGTCTATACTATTGTCTGCGGACTAATGTCTGCGTGAAAACTCTCGATTTTATGCGAGTTAATATACATCGATATCAATACAATATATAAATTCACGAAATACACATGCAAAAGTAAACTGATTATGTATGCGAAATCGGCCACCAGGGCCAGCTTTATTGATATTTAAAATAAAAATAACAGAACAAGAATATAAAAGATATATTTTAGAAATCTGTATTCTTTAATTCTCTTATATTAGGGATCATCTTTTTTAATTTTTTAAAAGTTATTCCCCATATTTTGTAAATTTACAATTATTCCATTCTAAAAATGTAGAATTTTGATATTAGCAAGTTGCTAGCTTTGCGTTTCATAAAAATAATACTAACCCTCAGGATCAATAGAGCATGAACAAAATCCTCAACCTCATCAACTGTTTCCGTACTTAGAGGGATTTTAGCCCTAGCTACTGGAAGGTAATAATTGACCCCCTTCTCATTTATCAGTCCGTGGATAACAATATACTCACCTTCTATATTAATACCAAATCCTATAAAAGTTTGACGTAAAATCTCTCTTTTATATTTTTTTAAGAGGTAGTGATACCCATCAAGAGATAGTCTCACTAATTTGTTATGATCATCAAAGATTTTCTTATTAGTAGTCTCCCATTTGCCACTCTCAACATACGCAATTTCGTCCCATTTTTGACGGAGAAAAGCTTGAATCATGAGATCTGGTCTATCTCCTCTTGCGTTACTATTATGTTGCAATTTTCGGTCTTTACTAGCAACACTTTGCCGTTCACCTCTCGTTACTTCAACATCATATTCGAGAGGTAAACGCCACATAATGGCACCTATTAATCGAGATACAATTTCTACCTTGGACCCTTCAGAACCTCTAAGAACTTTATGAAGTGCATTCGACTTTACCTCTTGTAAAAGGACATCAGTAACGTTCCTGGCTATACGTTCTCGACCATAATTCTCCTCAACCCACCTATCATGTACCACCTTTTCAGATTGCGAAAGTACAAGTTTATAAGAGTTATTTGCTTCACCTCTTTTCTTAACAAATTCGGCGCATATGTTTTTTATAAGTGGATCCTTTTTCAACTTTCGTATCCTAGCTCTTTCACCAGCAAGTACATCGTAATCATTATCTGGGGTTTGAAGATAATTTGCGCCTAAGTCAATTACATTATTTGTTAGTGGATCATTACAAGTTAACTTCTTAACGTCCACTTCACTCAATTTAGCAATAAGACGTTCATGCGCCTGAGTTTTTTCGTCCTGTAAAAAAGAGTTTACTGTTAGAAAGAATAGCTTTATCTCCAATTTTCGCTGATGAAATACCTTGATTATATCCTTAATGCTAGCTATATTACTTGAAGCTTGGTCTTTCCAATTTATTGGTTTTTCAAATTTCTCTCGTAATAAGTTATCTTCTGCCAATGATTTAAGTTCTTTCCAACTAAACCGAATCTGAAAAAAAATAGTGGGTTGCCAAATGCATTTGGAATTTATCTTTTTAATTATAAGAACCCACTAGTCAGAACTATCAACGGACCCTTAAAAAATTTTGCTGTCAAATAACCTACACAAAGCATCACAATGAAGCGGATTCTCGCTGGCAATTAACCACTTACTCCACCGCATTGTATGCAGATATGGTTTGACAGCAATAATCATCATTCCATATGTCAGACGAGATTGAAATGTTTATTTCATACCTTTTCGCTATCTTGTAGAAACTTAATATGTTTTTTACGTTCACGGCCAATATCTTTTTGCTCCACTTTCTGCAATAACATCATGAGATTTTCACAGTCTAAATCTTCTGTTTGAATTTTGAAATAACTCCATTGTTCGTGAAGAATTCTAGAGAAGGTGAGTTGTTTTAAAGGCGCCTTTCTTAAAAAGGTACACAAAGATTCGTTTGCTAAATCAATTTCGCTTGTTGAAGACATGGTTTGAAAATTCAAAAAAAAATATGAAGAAGAGTGTGTGTGAGTGAGAATAGAAAACTGAATCACTATAAAGCGACAAATAACAATAAATTCGAGATACTGCCCTTTTATGTTTTTTTTTCTTTCACCTCTTTCCTGAAACTCGAAATGTTAGATAGGTTAGACAGAATTAAAAACATGCACTCTTACATCGAAAATTTCCACAATAGAAGTTGAGACATGTATTTCCACGCAGAGAAATTTCTATCGATAATTCGAAGAATTTCTATAAATTATGTAAATGTAAGCATAGCGGGCTTTATCATGATTGGCTAATTTTTGAAGATCATCTCATCATAATAAAGTCTTATTAAAGTAAC